GCTCCAAGCTGCCGCCGGCCACACACGCGAGGATTTAGAAGCGGCAGCAGCTCCAAGCTGCTGCCGTACGCATTTGGCCGCCGCCCAACAAGAACAATAATTGCCCACTCCCAGCCGCCGCCAAAAAAACAATTACTCTGACAATTCCATTCTCAATTATCACATTAAATATCACGGAGGGGGGAACTCGAGCCAAGGGACGGGGCATTTACATATTACAGGAAACCGAAGGGCAACTGGACAAGGCGAAGGGAATGAGCCTCCAACTTCGCTTCCTTTTTTTCTTACTCCTTTTTTTCCCTTTGCAACATCTCACCCAAAAATGCCAACTATTCAAATTCGGCTCGGCAAGGTTGCTCTATACACACTGGTTAGTGGGGAAGGGCACACGGTTGCTGAGTTGAGGGACAGCTGCGAAATCATAATTGTACAGATACTTTTGGGCCCGAAAAAAGAAGCTGCTTTTTCAGTTCAAAATCTCAGTAAATACAACCCAGATAGCGACGCACCGGGCAGGCTTGGTGCGATCATGCGTCTTGCTGGAATCTTGAAGCAATCAGACCGTTAATAACATGAGCGGTTATTGCTTCCCACTTAAACCCGGGTACTTTTGCCTTTTTCCGGCATTTAGGGGAAATGAGGCGTCGGCTGGGACGACAATGTTGCATAGGCCGTGTGAAGTCTGAACCTCAAGTACTGTGACTGCATGTAAATGTGGTCGGCAAATTTCCGCATAATACAAGACCAGAATTTCCTTCGAAGAATTTGAGGTTTTCCAGTCCCACGTTGGAATAGAACATTCTTGTAAAATTTGGCTTTCCTAGTATGTACGGTCCCCAAAATCACTACTTCGCTACAAATATTTTTAACGTGCCTGAAGACGAGAATGCAATCCAAAACTTAGTTTCGGCGCACGAGTTTCAAACAAACTATAAACATTCTCGCAAAATTCATCTCTCCCTTTTCGGCTAATTCTCGAGTTAGGCATGATGTCAGTGGCGAAATTTGACGTATCCGCATGCGTGACGTTGGCGTATTTTACAGATGAATTTGAAGTCTTTGGCACATGGAGAGGGAACACCTTTACAAACATTCAGCTTTCTTGGCTGATTTTCGAAATCGTTTTGCCCCAAGAAATTTATGTATTTCCTTTTCGACGGTCATACTCCAAAAACAAGCGTACGCGAACGATAATTCAAAATGGGGGGTCACACACAGAGTGGGGACATGTCCCAAAAGTTTCAACCTCCAAGCTTCTCCGGTCCTGAAATTGAAAGAACCCGAGGCATGGCAAAGCACACACATACACACATACACACACACACACACACACACATGACATACCGGGGTTATCGCAATATGCGTTTTCGCATTTGCATATATGCAAAAACGCATAAAAAATGGAAATCACGCACGCTGGGATTCATGCCGCTTCATGATGCAATACTATCATCCCAACTGACAGCCTTTCCCGTATATACAGGAAAAACTGAAACACTGCCTGCACGAATCCACGTGTTAAACAGGAACGCAAGAACCATTCTTGCTGTTAACGATCTGACTGCTGTAAGTCGAACGCAAATATGAATGGTCGAACCCGGAAGTTCGCGCGTTGCAGTCTGCACTGCTCTTCTTCCTCCTCATTCAACGAGCTCAGTGTTCGTTAGCAGGTGGGGGATGCTAAGAGCAGATCAGGAAAAGCTGGAATGAGGTCGCTACTTTGCATGACAGGGAGAGGCGATTTCAGAAACACAGCCGCGCATTTTGGTCTCAAAATAAGCATTATCCATCTTCAGGGCAAGTAGCTGGTTTTCAACACACTAAACATGTTACTTTCAGAGTAGGTGATGGAGGAGGAGAGGAGCGGGGACAGAATTGGAGGTGCGGAAGCGAGAGCGACGAGGGAATCCTGTGCAGATGAAAGGAACGTCATGACTGCTCTCGGGACGACTAGTGCAGAAATGAGACCAAAACGCAAGAGTGAGTCACAGGACCAAGCGTATCTGAGGGACAAGACTGAAAGACAAAAACAACTGCCGACCGCAGCAGCAGCAGATGTTAACAAGGGATGCAGCTGCCAGCTGCAGAAAGCGGGGCGAGTCATCCACCACCGAGGTAGGGTGCCCACCAGCGCCTCAATCGCAACGCTACTAAAAGTCGACTTTGGCTGCAGCTGCTTCCTCAGCATCCCAAATAAACCCACAACAGAGCGCACACCAACCACTCACATCTCTGGAGCAGTATAACCGCACACACACATACGCTTCCACACGCACAAGTATGCGCACACACTCGTACTTCCATACATATACTGGCATATAATGTACACACACATACACAGGAATATATGCGAAATGTGCATGCATAATGAGAGTACTGATGCATGTGCAATTCAGCTACACACAGCACACCGCAGCCTGCACCAAGAACCGCGACGCTTTGTGCTACGGCATCTCGCACTGGCGAATCCGTGGAACTGCATTTTTGCCGTTTCCGAGCCTTATATACGCTGGTACATAATGCAAGAAGACATGTGTTCATGCTGCTGCGTAGCGCGAGGAGGCCGGAGTGAGCAGCGCCGTTTTAAGCGGATTAACATATTTAGCAGGCTACATTCGCTTTCCACTTCCCAAAAGAATCTGCTTTTTCGAGAATCCACATCAGCAAAACCTTCTTTCAAAAAGACTGACAGTATCGAGCACACTGAATACAGAAAGACCTGAAAGTGGGTTTTAAAAATTCGGCTACAGAATATCACGGCTCAAATTTACAGCTTTTGCATTTCAAGATGTGATACACCCCAGCACACACACGTACACACATACGAACACGCATATAGGAAAAGTACTCTTGTATGGCAAGGTTTTTTCGCATTAAAGTTACCACAGATCAGAAATATGAATTACCATGTGGTCTGGCTTGCCTGTGAAAGTCAAAAGGCGCTTAAGCAAGAAAGCTGAGTGTGGTAGAATCGCCGTATCTGGCGCGTAAGTAAGCAGCTAGAGGTTCGAAGCGCCGTATCAGAAAGGAATGCAAAAGAAACTTCTGAGGAATGTTGCACATCAAGAAACTGAATTTCATTCCATATATATTTCCTGGCAATCCTAACAGAGCTTCCGGCAAATGGCAGTGCCCGAAACGATTCTGGATTAGCTTTCGGCAATTACACTGCCACCAAGCTGAATATGATAAAATTTACTTCTGCTAACACTAGAAATCCACCTTGGACAGCTGAGCCCCTTTGTTCAAATATGCCAGCAATGAAACTATCCCTCTGTGACTCGTCTGAGCGATAAAATAGTACTGGCGCTTGCTGGGGAACTGTCGTCAACTGCTTCTAATTATTCGCGCGAAAAGAAAGCCATCGACAGTCTTTTCCAGCAGGTTGGGGGTGGTATTAGCAAAGCTGCGACTCAAGGCATTCCAGATATTCTTCGTCTCTCGATAAGAATAATTCACGAAGTCAATTCCGATGTCACATTCCTTTTTTATGTTTTTTGCATCTATGTAATGCAGAAAAAGCATATTGACGAGGGGGTTGTCTATGTGTGTGTGTGTCTGTGTGTGCGTCTTTCACGGTTTTTCATCTCAAAACCTACAAAAGCTACAGGGCTGGAAATTTAGGAAATTAATCTACATGCACGTACGGGCCCGTGGAAGTTTTTTCGAGCAAGCCGCTAACTCGGGAACCTGAAAAGCTAAAACACTGCAATTTTAAACAGACATTCCCCGTCGACGTAGGCGTTAATCAGCTCTAATTCAGACACCGGGTATGCGTGGTACCTGCGTAAGGGCCCGTGAACTTCTTTTCGGGCAAGCTGCTAACTCGAGAACTTGAGAAGCTAGAAGATTGGAATTTTAAGGAGATGTTCCCCACCCATATTAATGAGCTCAAAACCCAGATATCGGATATGCGTGGTACCCACGTACGGGCCTGTGGAAGTTTTTTTCGAGTAAGTTGCTAACTCGGGAGCCAGAAAGCTGGGAAGCTGAAATTTTAAGGGGTGTTTCCTGATAGTTTTGGTGGCCAGTCTTACTTTCTTTAGCTAGAAGATCAGTGCCAGTAGCGACAAAAACTGCCGGGAGCTATGCAAAAAACGCACCTTCGCACCGGCAGCCGGTGCGTTGGCCAATTATCTTTATATGTAGTGCC